ACTATATTTTAATTCTTCAAATATTTCTATAAATAATTTTATATTAATAATTTTTGAAACAGTTATAATAGAAAATGATAGTATTATCTGAGTATCTAATAATTATTATAATATCTCATGATTTAGTAATATATCAGTTAAAATAAATTCTAAAGAACTTTGTAACTATATGACAGATAATAGGATCTGTTATGAAAAGGTAAATATAATTATTAAAAATGTATTTATTATTTTGTTTTAAAACTAATATACTTTTAGGTTTTATTAATATTAAAGCTTAGTGAAATAATTCAAAAATATTTCCTTCAATTGGCATTAGTACAATGGTTTGATTTTAAATTGAAAAAAACTCTATATATATATAAATACATATATCTTAAATTAACAAATACAGTATATATAATTTAGTAGATATAGGAGTAATAGATAATATAGTTCATATAATTCCAAGATTTGATAAATGCAATAAATATTTATTAAATAATTATTTATTTTAATATACATATTATTACTTTAAATATTTTTGAAATAAAAAATATTCAAAGTTTTTTATTATTAAAATTAATAAAATTATTTTTATTTTACAAATTTTCGAAAATTTTGAAAGTTTTTTAAAGAATTTTTTGAAAATTTTTAGAAAATTTTTAACAGATGGAGATTTTTAAAGTTCTCTATTAAAAAAATTTCCTGATGAAAATGACTTAAAGAAAAAAATCAGTTCCTTTAAGCAAGGATATTAAATATCATCAAAATAAAAAACATTAAATTAAAATTGATTAAAGTTAAGGCATATATCAATATCAAGGAAAACAATCTAGCAGACAAGTTAACTAAAAAAGTACTAAACCTCCCAACAATCTAGTAAAAGGACCTTAAATCTGATAAGATCATCACAGAAGTGAAATGACAGGATATAACTAAAGGTGAGTTTTTAAAAGAGAAGACAGGGACAAAAGTCAAATATCTCTCACTAGAAAATATTAAAATTTTTAAATTAATAACTATAAAAAAACTATATATAATTGTTCTTCATTATTTAAATTATTGATTAATAGCATTTCTTGATCTTTGTCTCTATTAAAGTAAAGAGTTATGAATTTTGTCCCTCAAAAAGGGACATAAATGATCTGCAAAATTTTATATGCTAAATATTTTAGAGATCCATTATTAGATATAATACTGAATAGTTCTATAAGACAATTTATGAAAAGAATAAATAATAAAACAACAATATACTATTTATCATAACAAAACTGAACTAGGAACAAATAGAATCTCCAAATAGAAAATAAACAGAACTATTCATGGAATAAAATATAGGAAAGACCAAAAAAAAAATATACGTAAGATACCTCCTTTAAAAGCTTATAGTGAAAAAGTTTTCTGGTGAAGTTAATCAATAATGAATTACTGATAATGATTAAACTAGTAATAAGAAGACCAGACTTATATCACAAAGATAATTATTTAGCATGTGAAGAGTAAAAGGAAATAATAGAACATCTCTTGAAATGCACAAGATACAAAAATACAATAAAGGAAATCTGATCAAGAGGAGTAAAGATAATATATCAAGAATTTAAGAAAGAAAGATAGAATCAAAAAAATCAAGCTCAAAAAGAATATAGTAATATCCCAATAGTAAATAGAAAAGAAATGTGAGAAATAGAAACATTATCAATAAAGCTTATAAAAAAAGTATTCAAAAATAGTATCAGTTTTCTTTCAAAACCAATCAAAAGAGATCTATTAAGAAGTAGAAGAATTCGATTATAGAGGAAAAAAGATAGAAATAGTAGTTGGAAAATGGATACTCTGTTGCTAAAAGAAGACTTTGAATTAATTCAGGAAAAAAATGTGAAATAAATAATACAAACAAGTAATAGAATGGAAAAAAGTTCAAGGAATTTTCTAAAAAGATAAAATAAGAAGGATCATAAAGTCTTATTTAACAAGAAAAATATAAAGATCAAGAGAAGAAAAAAAGAAAATAGAAGAAGAGTGTTCAGGAAAAGATTTAACAAGAATAATAATAATGGTAGTTAAAAGTGGCATAAAATAGTTAGGATTTAGGCTCAGTTAGAATTGTGACCAGTGATCTGCAGTAGTGAACTGCAGGCAATAATATTCATAGTAGAAGGATATTTATTCAAACTATAAATAGAACAACAAATCACTTCCAAAATTATATTTAAAGTTTTATAATAAACTAAGATGTGTGAGTTAGTTAGTGTTTTAGCTTTAGTGACACTGTAAGTAGTATAACCTACATTATATTTAATAAAGCATACATAATTAATCTGATATTGGGTATACAAGAAAAAAAAAATTATGATTATATTATTAAAGACTTTTAATTAAACTTTTCATAAATATCTTAAATTCCTATTTTGGTAACTCTCAGGACTTTACTTTTCTAGCTTAGTATATTTTAATCAGATATTATACTTAAATAAAAATCTCTTAATTAAAATTGATTTTATATTATAAGTGATAATAAAAAAAAAAATAAAATATTTCTTTTTAAGATCTAAGCAAATAATATTGGAAATATAATAAAATCTTATCAGATATATATGAAAAAAGTTTAACTTAATAAATAAAATAATAATAAAAATTTAGTTCAATATTAATTAACTTATCTTATTATTAATAATTGCATATTAATTAATTAATTTCTAGTTAGATTTATTTACTTCAGAAGTAACATTATATCTAATTATAATAGGTTTTATTAATACGCATATATATAAATATATAAATGTCTAAGATGGTTGATGTAGATTCGTTAATCTATAAATAAAATTCATATTTAATATTAATTGTGATTAATTAAAATAAAAATAATAAATAATGATAATCAATTAATAAATACAAATTAATGTATTCTAAATAATAATAACTCTCTATTGCAATCTTAATAGAAGCATTGCAATTTCATTTGTTTCTAAATTTAATTTTATGCATAAAAACCGATGATCATATAAAAAAAGGCAGGATTCTGCGCCTTTCGCTGCCACAAATGGACACCGGAGCATACTATATTGAAGCACAATAACGTCCACCTCTCGTAATTTTTTTAGGGTAGGGGAATAATAGAATTAGTTACTGCCATGAAATTAAAAGCGAAATATTGAGACGTTTCTTTTTAGTTAAATTTCTTACCATAGTTTTAACATACCAGATGCGTAGGCCGAAGGCAAATGAACTTGAGCAGAAATGGAAATTACGGTATAACGATAAATGCAAAACTTTAAACACATCTTACGATATTCGGAAAATATTGCATTTAAAGTAACTTTTTTTATATGTTGCCGCAGATTTCGATTCTCGGAAAATCATATGTATTGTGCATACATTGGTCATTGTTTCTCAATATGGAGACAGTTAGGAGAGGAAAGGATATAAAGGGTGTTAAGGAAAAATGGCAGCGTATAATAAGCATATTTAGCAATTGTGACAAGACGAATGAATGTGTTAAAGCATATGCGAAGAAGAATATAATTGATATTAGAAGGGATTCGCCTACATAAAGCTACTGTCCCCTGCAACCCGCCAACAAAGAAACGCTCATGTGATTTCAGTGATTATCGTAATTTCAAACCAAATTGTTATAAAACCAGCTCATCCTAATATCCTCAATATTTTTGCCAATAGCGTTTTCTTCTCCTTTCTCCTTGGTAAATTGAGAAAAATTTAGGTTGCAAAATATTTCAAAATAGGTTTATATATTCCATATTCAACGTTTGTCATCGTAGGTTAAAAATTATCATGTCAGGAAAAGGACAATTAGACAAACCGATAAAAGAAAGAGAACCCCCTAAGGTTTCCGTGGACAGCAGGAATTCAACGGTTCGCAAGCGAAGTACTCTTATTTCTTCAGAATCAATAATTTTACCTCGGAGTGTGTCGGAAAGTCCATATGAATCGCCTTCGGGACGTGATGTGCCGAATTCTATTTCGCCATCGGAAAGTGGCAGTGATGCTAATTCCTCTCGTTCGCTTAAAGATTCTAATAATTGGGTATCATCCGACCTTCCGTTACCAAGAAGTCAAGCGAAGTCTTCTGATGACAACACTTCTAGTTGTTCATCGGATTTGCCTTCGGTGATTTACATCTCGTTGGCAGAGATTTTGGTTCGGACGCCGCGCTCGAACGACACACCTATTGTTACTCAGAATGATCAAAAACGTGAGATCGAGGATTCACAAAAATGGACGATGAGCGATAAGGAAATAAATAATGGCGGTTCATCAATCATCAAGAAGAGCCATGTGAATGAAATCCCAAGAAGAGGATCTCAGGCGACCACGTTTTCATCATCATCACACTTTGAAAATAATGAAGGATCAAGAGTAAGAAATCGCGGGAGGCCGATTCTACCGAATGCTCCAGAATCTTCAATAACAAAATCACTACCACCACCCATTACCATTCCTGGTAGCCTTGGAAATTTCTCACATCCAGTTCGGATCCCAGGATCTGAATCACTGGAGAGGGCGATCGTGAAAAAACAAAAACAACTCATCGATCTGGTACTGTCGTTATGGCCAATAATTCGACTGCCTCCTGCAAGACACATCGCAACATGTTTATCTCCTGAGACATTGGAAAAACGAAAAATGTTTTCTTCGTTGACAGTCGGGGTGATCGCAACGAAGAATGGAAAACAAATGGTCTCATCGATAACAATAAAAAAAACGAAATATTCGAGTGTCAATAATCGTCAAGAACCAGTGTTGGTGTCGGGCGTATGTGATCCTCGCGAATATGTGATCAAACATTGCCCGACTTACCAGAATCCTCCTTTGGATAAGCGATCTCCAGATTCGGAGTGGACGGCAGAATTTTTGTTGACCAATGTGTTACCAAAATTGGCGAGAGAAACCGAGATTGTACAACAACAACCGGGCTTGTTGCTGACGGTCAAAGAGGTGAAGATGAGGGGGTTGGAGATGAATAGTTTATTCGAGTGTAGAAAGTGCGCAAAGAGCAATTATGAAAAAACATTTGATTACGTAGGAGTTATAAAACACTTGCAAAACTCTAGACATGGTTTCAAGACCATTGACGAGGAAGAACACATCAAGATCAATTTGAGAGCATATATAAACGCATTTTATGACAACCTGCCTCCCAGAATTATCAGAGAACCGTTGGAATATTTGCGTTATTAGTATTTGCATACTTTTATGTAACAATAACTAGATATTATTTAAAAATACATTGCAATGCACTGATCATAAAATTTGCGTGCAATTATAAGAGAACAGAGTTATAAACGTCATGCGTCATATATTATATGTAATTGACATTTTTCTTCGGTGATATCATTCACCATCGGGTGTATCGGGTGACGTGCATGAGTCGGGTGCCGGAAGACCGTATATCTCTTTGCACCTTTTTTCAAAGGCCGTGATCATCAAATCGTTAATTTGATCGAAAAATGCGTTTGCTAATTGAGCGTGCAAAGGGGAGGCGAATTCAAATTCCAGGTGAAAGGCTAGATTGCAATGCGTTGACGGCGATCCGCCATGAGGTGCGAATTGCCACAGGGCTGTCAGATGACGGAATAGTGCGTCTGATGATGCTACCGCCTGTTTATATGTGTAAGTTGGGTCGAGAAGGATGCGCATTTGTGAGAAGGCAAATTGGATACTCAATCAACCGATACCTGAACATAACTTGGCCTTTCGCATGTAACTTCCGACACGTAAGTTTCCGAGAATCCGAGGAATTTCACCTCCAATGCTGCTGTTAGTATCTTTTTTTGATCGGATTGTCGGGTTTCTAAAACCTGGGAGTTTGTGCAGAATGGAATGAACATATGGTATTCGTCAACATTTGAAACCACGTCATAAAGTTGTTTTCGCGTGTATCTTCACAGGGAAAAAAGTTAGTGGTGGTGGTGGCGGTGGTGTTAGATAAAGTGAATGTGTGTTTGGTAATGAAGAAGAAGATTACGAACCCTATAACCCTGTGTCCAGCACAGGCCCTTCTCGATGAAAAATTATTCGGAAGATTGAAAAAATGCCGTCTCTGCCAGGATGATGGTTGTGCTTGTATACGTTGAAATGGTCCCGAGGCATTTGTCACTTTAAGGATGAATCCTTTGGTTTTAACGGATGATCGCAAAATATTTGATACTATAACGAGGGATCTTTGGATCATGCCGATAGATTGATACTCGAGCTGCACAAGATTCGAGAAAAAAGAAAGAATCGACTCGATCAGGATTTTTTTTTTTTTTTTTTTTTTTGCCGCTAAACGTACTTACGCATGTACGAGCGCACGGTACGCACGTACGTATGTGCGTCGTGTCCTGTCACATGATCACAATCACGTTCAACGAGGTGAGTTTTGCAGTCGAGCGAATGCGACCAGGAAATGTCGTCGATGGCAATCACCCATGTTCGGAGATGTCGAATTGAATATTTCATTCTTCGTCCCGGGTCGTTTATGGTTTTATTCATTATGTCGTGTCGAAATTGTATTCATGAGACGGCGAAATTAAATTTGCAATTTTTTTTACTCGAGCTTCTGGAAAACAAAAAAAATGCGATGCTAGTAGTAGTCAACAATATACAAGTTTTATTTAACAAATTTCGATAATAATAAAAAAAAAAAGATAAAATCTTATATATTACACATACGTATTATCTTTACGAAATGCTTTTTTTTTTTTCGGTTCGATTATTAGTCGATTTGATTGAAATGAATATATGAATTAAAGAGAAAAAAAAGAAAGGGAAAGAACAAAAAAATACAATTCTAGAATTGTTCTTTTAAGTGAAAGTTTGTACAGGCAAAATAAAAATGTAGAAGAAGAAGGCACGGTATCACAGCGAAGATGTGTGACCATGCAATGACCCGCTTATCGATCCTCTAGGTCTTTGTATCAGACCCTCCAGGTTGAATGAGCTATTATTTCCTTCAGAGTGCATCGATTCATTATCGCCACCGATCGAAGACGCGTCCTCGTCCTCCGTTGATGACGCTGAACTTAGATTCTGGAGTGTTTCGTCGCGCTCCCTTTGTGGCGGTGATTGGTACGGCGGGATGACGTCAATGTTATTATCGCTTATGTTGTACGGTTCAACTTGTGATTTAAGAGATCGTGTGGATTTGGTTTTCGATAGATTCTTCTCCAAGATTGCTTCCACCGTGGGATCATCTTCTAGATTACCTGATCCACCGATCCCGTCGCCAAAATCATAATACTCATCCAATCGTTGTTCGATGATGTTGGGTATCTTGTACCCCATTGCACTTCCGCCCATGCTACCATTACTACTACTGAGGCTATCATCGTTTGGAAGAAAGTAATCATTCAAATCTTGAAGTTTTGAAACGATGTCATTGAATTGGTGGTGGTCGTTGGCGGGTGACTCCTCTCGGTATCCCATGAATGCGTCGTCACCGGGATCGTCGAATAATTGAACTTCGTCATGCTGAGGCGTCACCTTGCACATAAAGCACACGGCGTGTACATTTGATCGAGTGGTTTCCATCGCCGTTTGCCTGTCGGGAATGGCCCATCCGTTGTCATCCGGCTCACCGAACAGGCTCACCGTTCCGTCCATTTCCTTTCCTCGACGAGAACCCATGCTCATGCGTACAATCTTTGGATCTTTTGGCGTGACCGTTATGGATGTCGCCTCGTCCATCACTTCCAGTGCTTCTTTTGAGTATGGTGAATGCAGGAGGCGGAGAAGTGGTAATATCAGCTCGGATCCTATCGCTATGAACTCTTGTCTCTGGGTATCTATGTGCGGCAACATCATCTTGATAATGGCCATTGTCTTTAACTTGAAGTATCGTGTATTGTTGGAGAGTAAACTCATGAGGAACAATAGTGTTTGAACTTCATAGTCAGGGAAGTAGTTGTCTCGTATTACCAAGATGATTTGCTTCAAAAAGTCATCCTTTGCCCGGAACCTTCCTTTGCTATAAGAATTTAATATGCGGGAGAGGTTATGTAGATTTTGTTGCTCAGAGATTTCGGACAAATATTTCGCCCATTCGGCACATTCTTCTCGGATGGATTCGTCCTCCAACGAATGAAGAAGTCGCGGAAGGTTCGCAAGGATTAGATATAAATAGCGGGCCGGGGTTGGGTCGATTAATTGTGTGTCTTGCAAAAATAACAATCTCTTGAGCATGTCAAATGTTTTCTGACTTGCCGTCGATGAGCACAACCCTTTCAACAACAGTGGCTGGATCCCGGTGAATTGTCCTTGCCATTTGTGTTCCGGAAAATATTCCCAGAGTATTGTCTGATTTTCCTCGTCGACAAGGTCAAATTTATTCAAAAGTTTATCCAGAATGGCCAGTGACTCCAAGAATTCCGGCTCGTTGGTTGTTTGAAGGCACGCGATTATGGCCCATAATAATTGCGGATAGATCTCCTTGGTTCCCGGCTCCAGCCAATCCACGACGTAACTGAGTGTGATCAGGATTTCCAGGGCAAATCCTTGTATCTCGTCGGAACTATCGGATATGGTGTTGGATAGGCGAGCTAGTACGTCGGCTAACATGTGTTCGTTGAATACCGGATTGAGAGAACGAAAGATCTGGAAAGATCGGCACGCGATGTGTCGAACGGGACACGAAGTAGCCCATTTTAACGCCATCTCTCCCCAGCTTTGTTTGAGATCGCCACGGTTGCTTTCGCCGTATACCGCAGCCCCAAAGATGGTGACAACGTCTCGAGACAACCTCTCCAGATCAATCAGACTCCTGATGTCCCGGTTGGTGTAGGTGATATCCTCATATGCCCAAAGTTGCGGGTCTTCTTTTGCCTCCAATTCGGCCACCAACGATTTACCGAGTTTGACAATCTCTTGGTACACGGATTTACTGATGATGATCGAATGAATCAAGTTCACGAGAAGAGCTTTCGTCTCCTCGCTAATAAGTGGATTGGTGGAATCCAATTGAACAAACAATACGTGAAGCAACCGTGGAAGATGAAATTCAAAATCGGTTCCAGCTTCGATCGCCATGTCGACCATATATAGAGTGGCCAGCTGTCCAGGTGAGAATACGGGGCGTTTGTGATGTTGTGGCATGGCTTCCTCGATTTTTGCGAGAAACAGTTTACAATTCTTGAAATCCTCTCGTTCGAGCGTTTCTTTAGGCTGAGGGGTCATCGATTTCGGCGAGATCTCGGACATTAGGGATTCGATGACGGCTGCGCATGTGGGAGTGCGTCCGAGGTAGACAAGAACGCGCTTTGCATGGGAAACAAAGATCGGATTCCTCTTCTCCAATCCCACGTCGATCAAAAATTTCACCATAGCGTGAACGTTATGCGCGTGTTCTCCCATCACCAACTGTTGCCAAAGTTTCTCGATGTCCTTGACAAACACGTCACCGTACTTGACCGTGATGAAGAAGAGGTTGGAGATCATGACGAAGGTGGTCGGATGCAATTCCCTCTCATCGGTGAATCGCAATTCGACATTTTTAAACCATGGTACTAGGTAACGCAGCACGTCTTTCTTACTTTTTTCGTGGACACTTTCGAAACGCATGGAGGCTTCCGAAATGAACCAATGCGTTTCCTCGCAGAAATCCAAATAGGGATTGGGTTGGTCATTTGCCGAAATCTCACATTGTTTTCGCCTTTCCTCATCCCTCTTCCTTGTATTCTGAGCGAGGCGCGCGGATAGTGCGACTTGCGCCTGTTTGTATATTGAAGATAGCCGGCTGGTGATTCCAACATTAAATTCGTCAGTACAACTTTCACCATATAGTCTTTTCTCGATGATGGACAGTAATTTAAGCGCATTTCGTCGAACTTCCAATTCGTCATCTCCGGTCTTGAAGAGAGCCAAGGCCAACATCTTTGCCGTCCTGTCGCAAGGGTAATTGGTGTCTTTGAAGAAAACTTCGGCAACGGCAAGAAAGTAACCCTGCGTGCTTTTGGACGACGGTATTCCTGAATAACAAAGCCGAACGGGGACTTCAAGAAAATTTGTTATCTTGGAGTTAGAAATAAGCAGTCCCTCCAGAGCTTTCCTTTTTTGTGAACGAACGGAAAGGATGAATTAGTATCACGCGATCGAAGAAAGCCCAATCAGGCTGACCGGGGAGATGCAAAATTTGCGTTGAAACCGACCTCGCAATGGGATGCAGCTTGTCCTGAGGATCCTCGAACACTGATTGTATCCAGGCGAACACGCTCTCCGCTTCGAGTAACTTTGACTTTTTCGGTGCATTTGGGGGATTCGGATCCAGAGTCAAGGGACCTCTCTGTTCAACGAATAGAGATTGAGTGCACAAGTTTGAGTTTCATGAGTTTAAAATTGTAATTTGTAAATAAACATTCAGTTCGCTCACGCATAATGAGGCCATCGCGCTGAGAGCCGCGAATTCCAAAGATTTCCTCTCATTTTCCATTTGCGTCGTCAGGGGACGTCTCTCCTCCGAATCTTTATAATGATCAATCATAATTGAAATCAGGTTCACGTCCTTTGCCCGATACTGCAATCCTCTTTTACCATGACCACACCACTCTTCAATCAGCTGGAATATGTATGTCCTCCACTCTGCGCTAATCTCCGATTCATTGTTCATCAAACTCAAACCGTCATAAAATTTCTCGACGACGCCACAAAAGTATTGACGAAGCCTGACATAATCCCAATCCATGTAAATCTCGGAATCACGAAGAAAATTAAAGGTTTCCGTGATGAAGGTCATCACCCAACCGCGAATGGTGGAATCTATTTGATCTTTAATTAGAAAGCGGGAGGTTAATTGATAAACATGAGCAAGCTCAATGCGAAGTTTCTCGTATTTCTTGACACGTTTGTGAATGTTGGTGTAAGGTTGTTTGTTGAGTTTGACTTTGGTCTCTTCGGTGACCGACTTAAAATATGGTTGCATTTCTTCGAGCAAGCTTTTATAAACATTCTCATTGATGCTCCCTAATGCCGTCACCACTGACTCACTGATTATATTATGCTCGGACGATAGAAGTGGTAACACTATTCGAAATAGATCCCTGGCGGTCGTGATACGATCGGGGGGTGGCGGTTGAGAACGCTTACGGCTGTGCGTCGAAGTTCGTCCGACAGAATCATCGTCCATCGTGATGGTTGAACAGGCGACGATAAGATAGGATCTCCATTGCTCGATTATTTCGTCTGTTGCCGAGATGCTAACTTTCGGGTAATGAAACTTTGGCATGGACAGTGTCGCGGTGGGGGCACGCGAGAGAGCCTCGGACGCTGTGTTGATCGCCGCTTGCATGTGCACAATGCGAGTGCAAACGTTGTTACGGCATAACGCCACCGTCACCGGGAAATAGAAACAACAGACTTTAATAAATTCCGGAAAACATCGAGACCAAATAACCGTGTCGGCAGGATTTTCGCTTTCTACAAGTCGTAAGAGAATATCCTTCTTCCCTTGTTGCAGGAGCTTTTGTAACCTCACGTGCTCGTATATTGACAAGGAATTGATTAGATTGTTGTCAAATTTAATCAGTTCTCCTCCTCGGTTAAGCACGTGGATAATGCGCGCGTATGTAACGTTATTATCAGTTCCGGCTGCGGAGTAACACAGTATATTCGCAGACTTATCGGAATTTCGACTTCCGTCCGTGTTATCCTTATCCGGGACAGGAGGATCTACTTCGGAAACGGGGAGCTCGGATAATTTGCCGTCCACGCTGGTCGCGGTGCCCCGACGCGAGCGCATGGAATTATTCTTTTCCTTACGTTCGTCAAACTCGAGTTCCAACTCAGCCACGAGGTGAAGAATGAGGGTCGCATATTTCCTAACTATGCACGATTGACTGCAAAGAAACAACAGTCCATTTGCTTCCGTCACATCTATTATCGACCATATGGTCGGATCTTCGACTTCGTTGGTTGTTTTTGCAGGCGTTGGGGTTGTCGCATTCGTAGTGGCATCAGGTTGTTCGGTTGCCTCATCACGTTTTTTGTTTCTTAATTGCTGTAGCCAATGTTTCAGGAGATCATAGTACTGCCTCAATATTCCCTTAAATTTTACCTCTCTTTCAGTGCCCACGCCAATAAGTATGTCGGAATATTTATCTTCGATACGGTGAACGAAGTGGGAAAAACTCATTATAACAGTCTCAGCACCACATTGCAGGGCTATGCGAGTCAATGCTGCTGTCGCCGAGCGCGCGAGTTCTAAATCAACGTGTACGGTGTACCGACACAGTAATTCTACGATACGAGTTCTGATGGGCTTATTCGGAAGTAGTCTTGGAAGTGAGTCCACATACTCTCGCATCAGATTAAAGTACGGTTGTCTATCTCTGGAATAAGAGATAAACATTGTGTTGTAACTGTAGAAGACCATGTTGTCACCCACGGCTCCCGCGGACAGTGCAGATGGGGTGTAGGAAGTTTTGCTTGTCAAAAATTTCTCTTCCAGCACGGTCAAATGACCGAAATGATGATCCAATATGTACATTATTCTATATGCCAAATCACAAAACTTTTCAACATTTTCCTTTAACCCGGCTTGATTGAAGATGTCGTCAGAGAGAACGTCAGGGGATATTCGTATTCCGAGATTATTCTTTGCCGAGATTAGATCGGGATCACTAGGGAAAGTTGGGCGTAATTCGGAAGCTTGCATGCTGGTTAACAATAGCATAAAAGATCTCATTCCAATCCTCATCCTTTCAGGCGCAATGTAGTCCAGTGATGTGGATGTTGGCGAAACTGCCGATAAATTGTCCGAGTTCATCAACATGAAGACAAGATTCTTCATGCAATAGTCGTGATGACGTAATCCGATAAATTGCACAAACTGCACAAACAGGTCTATCTGAACATCTGACGTCACCGACTTTCTGTTCGCGGGAAATATGGTTTTAATTATGTCATCAAGTTTCTTGTATGTCGTGTTTGTGCTTTCGGAGCATCGATAAAGGAATGTCCATAAAAGGCGTATCACGCATCCCATGCCCATCTGCTTTAAAGACTTATCCTGAAGAAAGCAAGTAGTGAATAGGAGGAGAAATTGGGAAAAAAGAACAAATCGAAATGGTGATGATGCAAACCTTGAATTTTTGAGTGCATGCGTAGAGGCATTCTGTCCAGCGAGCCAAGAAGAACTCGCGTTGACTGACGCATAACAATGTTGTGGCGAGAGGATATGCGACCTACACACGAATTACGTATGAATCATGTCACTTATAGAGATCTCTTGTCGAGAAGTAAAGCAATCCGCAACAAGGAAATGACCGAATTGTCGTGAACTTACACTCCAATTTCTTTGCTTTAAAGTCATTTTCCAGGCTTTTGGGTATAAGATCTCGACGGCCTTCACCCAGGCAGGAAAGTTCACTTCTGCGACCGCTACCTGAAAAGGGAAAACAATAAATTTTTGGTAGAACCTAGAGTAATTGTCCACTCTCAATGAGTTTCAAAAAAATAAACACCTATTATAAACCTGTAATTGATTTTTTTTTTTTTTTAAATAAGGTTTTTGCCCTCTATAAAGAAAAGAAAAGAAACGTACCCCCGCGATTGGCATCAACAATCTGACAAATAGGTCTGCATAGGTATGTTTTATTCGCACCCCGTGAGCGAGTCTCAAGAAATTCGCCAAACTCTGTAGGAAATCGGCTGTTTCCTCTAACGCCTCTATAGGATAAATCTTTTTGATAAAGATAATTATCCGATGGTTGGTAAATAATAATAATAAATTTTCAACTCTAAATGAGCACAGTGATCATTAAGATCAACGAACCTTTAGTTGAAGATGATGCATCCCCTTGATTAATAATTCGATCTTGGATTCTTGTTCTTTCATCGCACCCGGTAGTAATTTCGTGAACCCTTCCAGTTTCGCGATGAATCGATCGGAAACGGACACGAAACGTACTTTTGATAACCCACCGATGAGTTCCGAATACAACTCGTAAACTGCCCTAACGTGTTTCGATCTATTCACATCCTCACTGGAATGTGTAATAAGAATGATGGGAGAAAACGGGGAACGTGAGGAAAAAAAAAAAAAAAAAAAAAAATAAATAAATAAATCGAGCAATAACTTACGGCCTTAGTTCAAATATAAGTTTGAACACAAGCTCTTCCATTTGTTTTCCTACGTCCTCTCTGAGGGTGTCGGGTTGCAATTGTTTAACGATTTCGACGAGTGCCCGTGATACGATGTAATATGTTACTTGCTACACGTCGCAATATATACTTTGTCAAACCAGTGAAACGCCAAATGTGCAAATGTGCGCGTTTTTTTTTTTAACATTACCTTTTTTCGTTCCTTATAGATTTCATCTACTTCCTTGTTTCTGCTCACCAAGACGGTATCGCTCCTAAGAATCATTGCAAAAAATTTTTCAAGTCAACGAAGGTGTACCCAAGAAAGCACTCGGATGTACATACAAGTGACGCTTGTGAAATGAAGTCTCTGGACCCTCATGTTTCGATTCTTGTTTCTCCTTCCTCCAGCTCAACACCAAACTAATCACAGTCCTAGGCTTGTGTCTGGCAATATATCCCAAAGAATTGATAATTTTATCAAACGTCGGGTCAACCCCGGGTCCAATGTGAACGCAAAAGTTTGGTTCACAATCCTATAAAGAAAAGAGAAATAATAGATTTCAATCGTTTAGAATTTTTCCAATTTTTTTTTTATTTTTGATCTCGGAGAATTTCAACGGACCGCGCTATAGTTCATAATTTGAATCAATTTTTTGTCAGCTTGTTTGTAAAATTGCCTGTACAAAATGTTCAAGGCATAGTCAGCAGGAGTTTTAAGCTCCGCCGAAGACGCTGTTTTATTCTCGAGCGCTGATCCATCCGCAGTCTGTGACTGACTGAGCATAATATTATCAAGACCCGAGGCACCAGGACTGCTCGCGGAGGTCGAAGGATACACGTAATTCTGACCGTGGCTGAAAGCGGAGTGAGGAGACAACCCGCCAATTGTTTTCGCTGACGGTTCCGCCGGTGACGATGGATTCGCGACGTTGGTTTCTTCCGGCGGAACGACAATCGGATAGTGTGGTCCTGCCGAATTATCTCCTACATCGTTGTCAGCCAACAAAGCCATTTGAGGCGAATTTGCCACGATGGCGAACGGTTGACTGGCCATCCTAGAGAAAGTTCGTCTTGCAAGGCGGGTTTCTTACTTTCGTTCGAAAATGAATTACAGAGCCTAATTTCATTTGTTTTTTTTTGGAGGATGGCACAAATTACTATATTTGGTTAGTTACGTCCCTGGCTCCAAAATCGAGTTGCGTTCGATTTTATTTTTTATTTTATTTTTAATCGCAGACACACACATGTTACATATGTGCGTAAAGCTTATTTGCAATTAGATTCGCGCTTACTTGTACGTAAATTAAATCTTGGAATTATTAATTGAACACGCATGTTTAATAATCGTCATGGGACACCGAATTTTATTTATTTTCTTTATTTTCTGATGAAAAAATATGTGGGTTTAAAAATAATTCCAGTTGACATTAGAAGGCAGCGCCTGACTTATGATCGAAGTTCTCGTGATATGTGATGATAAGTGTTTGTGTTTGTGCGTAACAAATAAAGGATCAAACTTCCACAACGATAATCACCGAAAACTTATGGCCTTTTCTAAAATAAGAAAGATTGGCTTTTTAAATTCTTTGCCCAATGTTGTTCCAACACGATTTTTTGATCTGTTCACAATGTACCATACATAAAAACTCGATCACAAAAAACGAAAAGAAAAATTTTTTTTTTTTTTGCTTTTTGATTCGCATATATTTTTCTAAATTAGATACGTACATACGTGATATAGCTCAATCCTTTGGTATTTGTAATATGACCTCGCCGAAATTGCTGAATGCTACTGTTAAATGCGTGCTTTCGGGTGATACACTAATTCTTCGTGGAAAGCAGACCGCAAACCAACCTCCTCCGGAAAGGCAATTAAATTTGGCATATATCCAGGCCCCGAGAATAGGAAATCAAAAAAAAGATGATGAGGTAAACTTTTTCGATGATGTTAAGAAAAAAGAAAGATCTTTTTTTTTTTTTGTGGTGAAATTTTACTCATCCCTTTGCATCGGGGCGGGGAATCCAATTTCGAGTTGATCATACTGAATTTCGGTGCTGACATTCGTTCACATCCTCGATTAGCCCTTTGCGTTCGAATCTCGCGAGTTCATTCGTTCTCGCATAGTTGGAAAAGAAGTTTCATTCCGTGTTGACTATACCATCCCGAACTCTGGTAGGGAGTATGGCACCGTCTACCTAGGCAGTGAGAATCTCGCCCATTTGGTAGTCAAAGAAGGATGGGCCAAGGTCAGAGAGGAAAATAGAAAGAATAAGGAAGAAGATAGAGATTACGATGACCTAATTTCTTTTGAACAAGCCGCACAATCGGCCGTCAAAGGAATATGGCAAGATAAAGAGAAGGTATGCTCTGTATCTCATTGTCATCGGTGCGGTTCCACTCCACAGATTCTACATTGGACGTACAGACCCCAATAACTTATTGTCACCTGATATAAATAAAAAAATGTAGTATTCCCGTAATGTCAACTATACCTTTCAAGAAGATTCAAAAGCATATTTGGAAAAATACAAAGGGCAACCGATTGACGGTAAGGATGTCGATCATTTTTTTTTTTTTCGGTAATTCCATTTTACCTAAGATTTATCTTTCAATTCTGTTGGCAATTGAAAAGGTATCGTCGAACAAGTGCGAGATGGTTCTAGCCTTCGCGTTCTATTAATGCCTCCTTCCGCTCCTCAACAGTATCTTAATATAAACATATCCGGAATTAAGGCACCCATTGTTCGGAGGGATATTCCAGATCAAGATAATATCGTTGAACCATTTGGAGAAGAGGCAAAATATTTTGTGGAATCCAGGTTACTCCAGAGAAATGTGAGAGTCATACTGGAAGGACTTTCCGGAAATAATCAAGTATTCTCCGCCTCAATCTTGCATCCCGCGGGCAACATTGCGGAAGCATTAGTAAGCGCGGGATTGGCCAAGGTTTTGGACTGGAGTATAACGGTGGTTACTGATGGTCCAGCGAAATTACGTGCTGCCGAAAAGTAAGGATTATATATATTGTACATACGGTATATGGTGTATGAATGGATATGTGCAGATGTACAGATAAACCTCTTTAAATGCACCCTCCCTCGGAACAATATACCGGATGCGCATTTAAGGAAGTTTTTGTATTACATTGGGAGTTTTCCCAAGGACTCTGAGGTTGGGACCAAATCCGGACGTGCATTTGAAGTGGAAGCCCATTGTGTGTGTGCATTTAGGGAGGATGCATTTAGAGAAGTTTACCGGAATATACGTTTCTCATGTTAACTATTTAATACGAATATTGTGTAGTGCCGCGAAACAAAAAAGGTTGAAAATATGGCATGATCATGTGGCTAGAAGTAAGGCTGGTGGTGACGATCATGAATTTGAAGGAACTGTAAGCCTTATTTCTTCACGATTCAATGATATTCGCGATTACTTTGATATCTAATTCCTTTATAGGTGATTCGCATTGTCAACGGTGATACCCTTTGTGTAAGAGTAAATCGAACCGGAGTCGAAAAAAAACTCCAGTTGTCAAGTATCCGACAACCAAAGTATGTTCAACTGTCTGCATTTTCATCGCTGGAACAAAATCTAAAAGAGTTAGTATCCAAAACAAATAGACCAAAAGACCCCAAGATTCCGGAGTACAATCATGATGCCAAAGAGTTCTTGCGGAAGAAGTTGATAGGAAAAACGGTAGCTTTCAATTGATTTTCATATTTACGTGTGCTTTCATGTCGTTGAAATTTTATTAATAATCGAGTCTTAGGTTCGTGTCACTATCGACTATCAAAAACCCGCGTCGGATGGGTATGAGGCTAAGGAGTGTGCTACCATCAAACTTGGTGAATTGTAAATATATTTACGAGCAATGCATTCTTCTTTTTTCTATTTTTTTTTTTTTTTTTGTATACTTATATATATATTAAAAAAAAATAGCAATCCAGCAGAAGCTCTGCTCGAGCGCGGGCTCGCTCAGATTATAAGGCATAGAAGAGATGATGAGGATCGTTCAAGCTGTTACGATCAGCTTCTAATAGCGGAACAAAAGTAATTTAGTTCCATGCAAACTTTTGATCAAGATACAGTATCTCTTACGCATGTGTATTTTTATCCTTCTTTTCTTATCTTCCTTTTTTTTATTAGGGCTCAGACAAATGCCAAAGGCGTCCATAGCAACAAAGAACCACCTACGTACAGGATCGGTGATGCCTCGGAGGTTTGTATTGTGATTATACGCGATAATTCGTAAATTAACTAATCCAGAAATTGATTCCAAACGTTTCGCGTAGAACGCTTCGAAAGCCCGCCAATACCTTCATTCTCTGCAGAGAGTTGGTCGCATTAACGGTGTCGTTGACTTTGTTAATAACGCGACAAGATTTAAAATTTACCTTCCTAAGGAAGGTTATAAAATATCTTTTGTTCTTGGTGGTATTCGTGCACCTCGAACTGGTAGAACGCCGTCCGAAAAATCGGAACCCTATGCTACCGAGGCTTTTGAATTTGCCAATCGCAAAGTATTGCAGCGTGATGTTGAGATCGAGGTGGAAAATGTCGATAAGACTGGCGGATTCATTGGTACTCTCTGGCTCAATAAAACGGACAACTTTGCGGAATTGCTATTGCAAGAAGGACTCGCGAAAGTTCATTCGTTTGGCCCCGACGCGAATAAGTTTCGAAAGGCTGAGACGGAGGCCAGAGAGGCGAGGAAAAATGTGGGCGCATGTTCACATTAACGACTTCCGATCAGCTCTTTTATTATTATCTGACACGACTTCTTTTTATCTTATCCTTTGATCGTAGATTTGGTCTCTCCAAGAACCTTTAGAGGAAGTTGACGTGACATCATTAGAAGAAGGTGAACCTCGCAAAGAATATATAGACGTTGAGATCTCGGGGATTGTCTCGGGAGGACATTTTTATGTCCAGGTTGTGAATGATGACATTACCAGTCTAGAAAAGATGATGTCTGAATTTAGACTTTACCACAAGAATACTCAGACTTCTAACGCTTCAAGCCTTAAAACCGATCAAATTGTCGGCGCACAGTTTACTGCGGACAACCAATGGTAATTACTGCAGCTCATCAATTATTCCTTATTCCATTCTCAGGAACATTTTTAATCGTGTGAACATCTTAGGTATCGCGCAAAGATAAAGAAGCTTTCGAGCGATAAAAAGAGTGCCGAAGTGGTTTACATTGATTATGGAAACGTAATTATTTACATTCCGGTTACGATAATAATCCGTTTTCATCCGACTAATCCTGCCGGTATTTTTTTTTTTTTTTTTTTTTTTAGTCGGAAACAATCCCTCTTTCTCGGATTCGCTCTATTCCCGACAATTTCAAAAAGCTACCGGCACAGTCGCAGGAGGCTGTGCTCTCGTTTATAAAAGTTCACGAACGTGATGTAATTTCTAGATTCATTATTTATGTCACCCTTTGATTTTACATAAGACCATGCTAAATTCTCGATTTAATAGACCGACTATGGCGAAGAAGCCTACGAAAAATTCCAAAATATTGTAGCTAATAAACAGCTTGTTGCCAATATCGATTACCGTGAGCGTAATTTACTTCACCTCACTCTCTACAATCCTGCGCAAGCTCAATCTTCCGAAGTCTCGATAAATGCCGAATTGGTTCGCGCTGGTCTTGCGTTGGTCAACAAAAAGCTACCTTATTATAAACGCTATCCTAATTTGACGAAAAAATTGGAGGAATCTCAGGAAGAGGCGAAAAAGGAAAGGGTGAGTGCAACGAGGCAATTTCATGAATCTTTAGAAAAGAAAAAAATTTTTTCTTTCTTTTTTTTGTTTAACACCTTTTAATTTCTAGATGGGGATGTTTGAGTATGGTGATGCGACGCAGGATGACGATGATGATGCTGGTTATTAAAAATCCAGCCGGTCGACGAACTAATCAATATATCTGGATGTTAATCATATTGAAATTTTTGAGAATAGACTAATAATAATAACATAGACATATAAAGATTCTTATTTATGTTTGTATTTTATGGGACCCAAGGAAACTTTTTTTTTTGGAATAACTTTATTAATGTAAATCAAAAAGTATTAGGATAGAATAGGTTCTTGTAAAATAATACTTAAAAGAAAAGCACTATAAATTCAAGAATAAATATTGTCCCGGAAATGAGGGAGGATTTAATCGTGTAAAAGTAGATGATAGATAAACTTTAAATTATTATTTTTTTTTTTAGTGACATGCGCGTTGAATAACAGATTATTGTTTGATCGAAATGGAAAGAATCGAGTGTTTTATAGTTATTCGTATGCTCGGCAAGTTTAAAAGTATTGACAGAATACACTCATTCATCTTTGACCCGCAAATTAATGATTCAAGATTAATGTTGGCCAGAAGAATGTCCCACTGCGGTTGTATTGCAATTACATGGTAATCTTTTGAAGTACACAATCAAGAATAACCAAAGCTTCCGTGAATGTTTTGAAACGTGTCCCGTCTTCAGTAGGCAACCGTTGCTTTTCGAGTCCAGTGTTGGAATCCATGGATTCGTCATTTAGCCCGCCAGATTCTTCGATGGCGAGTTGGTCCGTTTCCAGGTCTTTCACCGAATCGAAAACCTCCCCTTCGTCATCGGTTACCATTGGTTCGTCTGTTAGACGAGGGATTTCTTTAAATCGCGGCTGTTGGTTTTGATCGATTTCTTCTGTTGTGTTTATGACTTGATTTTCCCGTACTTCAAGTTCATCAACATCCCACCAATCATGCCATTCGTTTTCTTCATAAAAAGGTGATATCCGTTCAAAGGGTTTTCCCGTCTCTTCAGTCGTTTCGGGCAAATCGTTCTCAACCGATTTCTCTTTTTTTCCATTCGATGCTCCTTCGGCTGCCGTACTCAAGAGGAGCCTTTCAAGTTCTTGAGGATCTATAAGCTTATCGTCGTCTGACAAGAAATCCGAAAGGTCTTCAACTTCTTCCGGAATTAACCTGTCGAATCCGGAACAAATCGTGGCCGTTCCGGCATTTCGAATCCTTCTTGTTTTAAGCAATGGTTCGTCGGGAGTGAATTGCCTATCGTACGGAGGTTTGGGAGACGCGGAGTTCTTTCGTTTCTTTGGTGCACGCCGGCAACCAATCTTGCAGCATTCGTGAGCACATCTGATTTAAAATTCAGGATTAATTTGCGTAAACCCAACAATCACCCTCGGAAACCAAGAAACATACTTTTTTTTGTCTTTGCAAGGATGATGACATTTCACCCGCCCATTTGGCAACAACTCATATTCTTGATCATTTGCAATTTGACTTTTTCCTTTTGATAAATTATCCCTTGTATTCGACGTTGACGAGGGAACTATTATCTGAATTTCAAATGATTTGTCAAAATCGATGCATCCAATCAGAAGACGATCGATTTTACTCTATCTATTCTTGCATACCTCTTCGTTTTCAATCGAAACATCTTGTATCTCTTCCAACATTTCATCATCCGAAAGAATCTTTTGCGAATTAACTTTTATTAGCGTGTTCTAATGTCGGTCATTTAAAGTTTTGGAATGAAGTGCGATACCTCGATCACTTGTCGGCTTCCTTGTGGCGGTATGGGAGGAGTGACAGGAGCATTGCATGTGGTCGCCGATTGCGTATCGGACAAAATCATTTGATGAACATCCAAGCCAACTATTAATAATTTTATTTCGATTAGAGACGAATGAAACCAATTTTTTTCTCACCAAGACAGACTTACTGAATTCTTCTGATAGAACGGAACAGGTTACGTGTTTATTGGTGGCGATGTTTTTTCTCAATACCCTAAACTCGAAATTTAACCCCTGCTGGACCCTCCACAGTCTAAGTAAGTTGAATATTCAGATCGGTGATTTGAAAACGTTTGCATTCATGACACAAAAAACACCGACAACTTACGGAGTTTGACGAAAGTCTAACATCAAGTTATCTACGGCAGCTATGAAGGCCACGCTTAGATTAATTCCATAGCGTCTCGTGTTTACCTTTGTACTATTTGTTAAGCTAATGGCAACGGAATATAAATCAAACTCTTCAGATTTGGAGAGTCCCTGTTGTTGATGGTGATACGAATTCCATTTATTATTTATTATTTATGGCATAAAGATCACAAGCGAGCAAAATATTTGTTAAATACGCGGTTGACGACGAGTCCGATTTGGGGCAAAGATGCAACCGTCTCGCGCACCTAGAAAGGAAAAAAAAAATAGTTTCGTCAGCATAGGAACGGTGGGAAGTATTGGGGAATCAAATTTGGTAGACATACATTATGACCGAATGGTGGATGCCGATTACAAGCCTTTTTATAAGTGAAAAGCCGTTGACGAATTTCGTGATGCAGGAAGCAACCGAAGGTACGCATGAACATCTTACCATCTCAATCCTCCATGTATCGCTTTCCTTTAATTGCTCAAAAGTCGATATCCCAACATCCGCAAGCTTTTTCGCGTACTGTTCACCTTTAGGAAGAAAATGCGGAATTATTATTATTTTTTTTTGTTACTTTTGTTTGCCACCACTGATCGCGCGATGCGCAACTTCGGGAGAATTAATTACCAATTCCATCAAGTTGCCTCAACAATAAAGGAGAATCATCCCACATTTTGGCTTTGATGCATCTCGCTCTTGGTAAAATTGATCGTTAAAATATCTCGCGATAACATTTCTGTCGTACCAAAATCACTTACGGTACCGTTAAGGAACTTACAAATCTATTGCTACTCTCAGAAGCTTTACATTCTCTTTATATGCCGCCAGCTCGATGAAACCTAAAAGAAACGAAAATTTTGAAAAACACCGGTAATGGAAGGCAAGTAAAAATGGGATAATACATTTTATGATTCGATGTCCATGCTGGAGGATGATTTTGGATTCCACGTTAACTTGGAAACGGTTTTGCACGTCTTCGAGATGTATATTGCCTAATGCGCTCTATCATTTTCCGTATGCATAAGGATTAATGTTTCTCAAGATGATTTCGCGCGTAATTTCTCCCTTAATCATTCTTTGATGCATACTTGAATCATAATGAAAACCTTTCCTTCGGTGTCTTTTACTTTTCCAGAAAGTCTGAATTTTATATCGGCATGCTGATTTAGCTTGTTCAACATCTACAATGTCAAAAGAGACAATCATTTAAAACCTATGCGGAGAGCAGTTCATTCGTCCCGAATTGCAAATACCAGCTTGTCGTGTCGATGCAATTTCACTTCATTGAATTCCTCCGCTTTCGACATTTTCTCCAACTTTTTTTTTTTAAAAGAAAAAAAAAGAGAATCGTGTGACTTGCGTGCAAATAAGACACCACCTCGACAACAAATTCAACAAATTGGATACCATTATTTTGATGATTTCATCCTTTGTCGCCGATGGATTTGACTGATGCCACTGAAAGATTGTTAACATGCTTCGCATTGTAAAGTATTTTACGTGGTATTTCGCCATCGCTTCACCAATTTCTGTGGTATCGTTAATACGGTAGTATCAAAATTGTGAGACACTATCATCAAACGACCACAGGTTCTTTCTTACTGGTAGGCCTCAGGATGTCATTATTCATTGTAACCATTTCCGAGATGACTAGATTTCCTATATCATTCATACAGATCCCTGAAGAAGTGGCATTGGTAAGTTGCACGGCATGCGACTTTCCAGATAAATATCTCTTTTTCGATGGGTCAAAATTAAGAAATAAACCTTCGAGTCGTTTTTCCCAATCATATCCTTCCTTGAATTCGGGATCATATCTCTGTGGATTCGATCTCATTCTTATGTATAGAAATGTCGACTTTAACCATTCCTTTGCCCTGTTTACGTGGTTTATGGTTCCAAGGCATATCTCCGAATTTATGTGTTCGTGAAGAGTTTCGTGCAGGCTGTTTGAAAGTGCAGTGTTACGAATGTTTTTTATAGTGGCGAACTCGATATGTTGATCCAATTCAATATTGTGAGGGTATTTTACCTGCTCTCAAGCCTGTCTTTGGCTCCAGTCACAAACGCTTCGTATCTTTGTTTCATATCATTGGTTGTCATGATGACCGCTAAAGTAGGTAGAGAAAAAAAACAAAAAAACCGCGTTTCGAATCAACGCGTGCTCCAATCTCCCGAGTTGAATTATACTTTTACCTGTTCCACTATCATCAAATTGCGGTCTCCCCTGTTACAGCAAGAATGTTAATATCACCACCTGACCTTTGCGCGCGCAGATATTTTGGAAGTAGCACACTTACAGCACGTCCCAGCATCTGCTTTATTTCCGAGTCTGAATACTCGACAAAACCTCCATTCTTATACGCCATGGTCGATTTGATTATGACTAAATGCGCTGGTAAATTCACCTGTGAAATATTTTTTGTGAATTCACATCATATCAAATGGAAACCTAGGCGAACGAAAAATTCAATTTACCCCGACAGCCAAAGTGGATGTAGCACCTGAAGGTAAATTGGCTCAAAGTTGAAAAATACTACGAAGCGATTAATTCACAAAGTGTCCTTAAAACATACAAATGACGTGCACCACTCCATTCAAGAACAAAGCTTCCACATTCTTACGATCCTGCATGTCGAGTCCCGCGTGATGAAATACAACCCCATATCTTATGAATTCTGAATTTTTATGATCATTCAACGTGAATAGCGATTTCGTGCGACGGCGGTGTCGTTAAAAAATTTACGGAATACCTGATAATTGCTTGTCATGAAATGTCGTGTCCCTGAAATGAGAGGTGTTAGCATAATCGGGGGATTGAGTTAATTGGGATGTCTAGAATGATGTTCATTTTTCTTACACGGGCCGAGAATTCCATGGGAGTCCTTGGTGATGTTGCTGCATCAGCTTTATTTTTTTAACTATGGCTTGACATGCCTCCTCGGTGGACTTTCTCGTGGTGCAGAACTACAAGAAATATCAGATGCCGTAACCGGTCAATCACATTAGCTAATCGAATGCTGGAAAACTTTTACCCACCACCATCGTAGGCTTCCCAGAGGAGTATCGTTGGATCACATCAAAAAGCCTACAGTGTAAAACTCGTTATCTTAGGTGTACACACGTTATTCGCAACAGTTCCTGAATGGTAACGATACTTGCTTGTCATTTAATGATTTGTCAAATTTGAATGCATTCCCGTCCGATGCATATCCCAACACTTGGTGAGAGAGTCGCACCGGTCTATACTCTTCCCCAAATTGTAAAACTCTGGCCTTATTTCTATGTGGAAGTTCTTTACGTATAATGCGACAAAGAGATTACAGATGGTTTTTTCGTTTTCCAGTTTTCTTTCCTTTAAAGAAGACAAAAATGCTCGAACCATTTCTAGATGGCAAGTCTCGAAAGTCCATACTGATCCATGACGCGACGTCATCAATGTTGAACACTGTTGCGGAAATCGCAATGAATCGACTATTTGCACCCATTAATTTCATTCTACTAACCTGCAACATTTCAATAATAACTAACGACATTACACCATTGTAAATGAAAGGCAAGCTTTTTTAATCAAAGAGATCATTTGGTCGACGCTTAGAAAAGTTGTGGCCGCTATTCTGCGATGTGTAGTTATTGCGTCCACCATCCGGA